TTGCATGAACATGTAGTTGACATTGTATTTGTGGCAAAGCCACCGTTCATAATTCTTTCATACATGTCACTCTTGATTCATTGCATATCCCGGTATACCTCCGGAGGCATTCATATAGAGTCATATTTTGGTCTAAGTATTGAGTTGTAATTGTTGAGTTGTAAAAAAATAGAAGTGTGATGATCTTCATTATTAGAGCATTGTCCCAGTGAGGAAAGGATGATGGAGACTATGATTCCCCCATAAGTCGGGATGAGACTCCGGGCGAATTATATAAAAAATAAAATAAAAAAAGAGGCCATAAAAAAGAGAGAAAAGGCCCAAATAAAAAAAATATATGAGAGAAAAATAGAGAAGGGACAATGCTACTATCCTTTTACCACACTTGTGCTTCAAAGTAGCACCATGATCTTCATGATAGAGAGTCTCATATGTTGTGACTTCCATTTACTAGTGGGAATTTTTCATTATAGAACTTGGCTTGTATATTCCAATGATGGGCTTTCTCAAAATGCCCTAGGTCTTCATGAGCAAGCAAGTTGGATGCACCCCACTAGTTTTCTTTTGTTGAGCTTTCATATATTTATAGCTCTAGTGCATCCGTTGCATGGCAATCCCTACTCACTCACATTGATATCTATTAATGGGCATCTCCATAACCCATTGATACGCCTAGTTGATGTGATAATGTCTTCTCCTTTTTTGTCTTCTCCACAACCACCATTCTATTCCACATATAGTGCTATGTCCATGGCTGACGCTCATGTATTGCGTGAAAGTTGAAAAAGTGTGAGATTATTAAAGTATGAAACAATTGCTTGGCTCGTCATCGGGGTTGTGCATGATTAAATACTTTGTGTGATGAAGATAGAGCATAGCCAGACTATATGATTTTGTAGGGATAACTTTCTTTTGGCCATGCTATTTTGAGAAGACATGATTACTTGCTTGGTATGCTTGAAGTATTACTATTTCTTTTATCAATATGAACTTTTATTTTGAATCATTTGGATCTGAACATTCATGCCACAATAAAGAAAATTACATTGAGAATCATGCTAGGTAGCATTCCACATCAAAAATTCTGTTTTTATCATTTACCTACTCGAGGACGAGCAAGAATTAAGCTTGGGGATGCTTGATACGTCTCCAACGTATCTATAATTTTTGATTGTTCCATGCTATATTATTATCTGTTTTGAATGATTATGGGCTTTATTATACACTTTTATATTACTTTTGGGACTAACCTATTAACCGGAGTCCCAGCCCATATTGCTGTTTTTTTGCCTGTTTCAGTATTTCGAAGAAAAGGAATATCAAACGGAGTCCAAACGGAATGAAACCTTCGGCATCATGATTTTTTGGAAGATTATCATCCCGGAGGCTTGGAGATGAAGTCAGAAGATCCTCGAGGAGCCCACGAGATAGGAGGGAGCGCCCCCCTGTAGGGCGCGCCCCCTGTAGGGCGCGCCCCCTGTAGGGCGCGCCCCCTGTCTCGTGGACCCCTCGAGCACCCCCTGACCGACTTCTTTCACCTATATATGCCTACGTACCCTAAAACCATCGAATATGAAGATAGATCGGGAGTTCCACCGCCGCAAGCCTCTGTAGACACCAAAAACCTCTCGGGAGCCCGTTTTGGCACCCTGCCGGAGGGGGATCCCATCACCGGTGGCCATCTTCATCATCCCGGCGCTCTCCATGACGAGGAGGGAGTAGTTCACCCTCGGGGCTGAGGGTATGTACCAGTAGCTATGTGTTTGATCTCTCTCTCGTGTTCTCTCTCGTGTTCTCTCTCGTGTTCCCTCTATGGCACGATCTTGATGTATCCCGAGCTTTGCTATTGTAGTTGGATCTTATGATGTTTCTCCCCCTCTACTCTCTTGTGATGAATTGAGTCTTCCCCTTTGAAGTTATCTTATCGGATTGAGTCTTTTATGAGAACACTTGATGTATGTCTTGCCGTGCTTATCTGTGGTGACAATGGTATATCATGTACCTCTTGATGTACTTTTTGGTGACCAACTTGCGGGTTCCGCCCATGAACCAGAGCATAGGGGTTAGCACACATTCTTGACTCTCCGGTAGAAACTTTGGGGCACTCTTTGAAGTACTTTGTGTTGGTTGGATGAATCTGAGATTGTGTGATGCATATCGTATAATCATGCCCACGGATACTTGAGGTGACAATGGAGTATCTAGGTGACATTAGGGTTTTGGTTGATTTGTGTCTTAAGGTGTTATTCTAGTATGAACTATATGATGGATTGAGCGGAAAGAATAGCTTCATGTTATTTTACTACGAACTCTTGAATAGATAGAACAGAAAGGATAACTTTGAGGTGGTTTCGTATCCTACCATAATCTCTTTGTTTGTTCTCCGCTATTAGTGTCTTTGGAGTGACTCTTTGTTGCATGTTGAGGGCTTGTTATATGATCTATCTATGTTATTATTGTTGAGAGAACTTGCACTAGTGAAAGTATGAACCCTAGGCCTTGTTTCCTATCATTGCAATACCGTTTACGCTCACTTTTACCACTTGTTACCTTGCTGTTTTTATTATTTCAGATTACAATTACCTTTATCTACTATCTTTATTGCACTTGTATCTTCATCTCTTCGCCGAACTAGTGCACCTATACAATTTACCATTGAATTGGGTGTGTTGGGGACACAAGAGACTCTTTGTTATTTGGTTGACCATCTTCATCCTACGCCTCCTACAGATTGATAAACCTTAGTTCATCCACTTGAGGGAAATTTGCTATTGTCCTACAAACCTGTGCACTTGCAGGCCCAACAACGTCTACAAGAAGAAGGTTGTGTAGTAGACATCAAGCTCTTTTCTGGGGCCATTGCCGGGGAGGTTAGCGCTTGAAGGTATATCTTTAGATATTGCAATCGAATCTTTTTGTTTCTTGTTTTATCACTAGTTTAGTTTATAAAAGAAAACTACAAAAAAATGGAGTTGAGTTTGTCTCATACGTTTTGTCTTTTTAATATCTTTCGTGAGAATGATGGTAAGGAAAACTGTGCTCAAGTGCTAGAAGAAGAATGCATTGGTACTATATCTTTGTATGATGAGCATGATTGCAATGTTGTTAGTATGAATTCCTTGAATATCCATGATGCTAATGATATGCAAAGCCACAAGCTTGGGGAAGCTGTGTTTGATGAAGATGATATTTTTTGTCCCCCAAGTTTTGATGAGAATATGTATTATGATGAAAGAATGCCTCCTATTTATGATGATTATATTGATGAAAGTGGGTTTGGAAGAGTGTCAACTTTAGGAAGTACTGATCCCACTTTTTTGGAGGATGTTGAATCTTATTGTGATGAATATGAAAGTGGATTTGGAAGAGTGTCAACTTTATTTAGTGATGATTCACACTATTTCGGAAGAGGTTCCAATTGATTATGAGAACAAAGTTGCTATCTATGATGATTATTGTGATGACTTGTATGCTATTAAGAACAATGATATCCATGAAACTTGTCATCATGATTTTAGTTTTCAATTGGATTTTGCCTCACATGATAGTTATTTTGTTGAGTTTGCTCCCACTACTATTCATGAGAAGAATTTTGCTTATGTGGAGAGTAGTAAATTTTCTATGCTTGTAGATCATGAAAAGAATGCTTTAGGTGCTGGTTATATTGTTGAATTCATTCACGATGCTACTGAAAATTATTATGAGGGAGAAACATATGCTTGTAGAAATTGCAATAATGTCAAGTTTCCTCTCTATGTGTTGAAAATTTTGAAGCTATGCTTGTTTTACCTCCTTATGCTAGTTGATTATTGTTCCCATAAGTTGTTTGATCACAAAATCCCTATGCATAGGAAGTGGGTTAGGCTTAAATGTGCTAGTCATATGCTTCATGACGCTCCCTTTATGTTTCAATTCTTATCTTTTATGTGAGCATCATTGCCATCATCATGCCTAGCTAAAAATGCATTAAAGAAAAGCGCTTGTTGGGAGACAACCCAATATTTATCCTTAATGTTTTTGTGTGTCCACATGATTATGATACTGTATTAATCATGTTTTATAGCTTTTGTTTCAATAAAGTGCCAAGTAGAACCTTTGGGAAGACTTGGGTGAAGTTTATATGATCTTGCTGTAGAAAACAGAAACTTTAACGCTCACGGTGAACTGGGGAACTGGTAAAGGAAACCTAGAGCCAAGCGGTAAAACAAGACCTTCCTGCTCCTCCTCCCTCACTCGGCGGCGGCTCCCTACCCCTGCCTCCGCACCGCCTCTTCCTCCTTCTGACAGCGGCAACGGTGAGCATGAGAGCAGCGGAAGCGGCTGGACACCATAAGCTGCCCGAGGTGGTGTACGGCGAGGAACGACCGCGCCCGACGCCGTCCTCCAACCGTACTTCCCAACCCGGTGCATGCCCAAGGATTCCGGCGCACCTCGAAGGAAGGACCAAGGCCTGGGACGACTTGTCCTCTTCTTCCTCTAACATCTCTCTGCCGGCTGCTGCTTATTAGTAGGGAGGGAGGGAGGGAGGGAGCGGAAAAGATAGAGCGACGGCGAGCGCATCCGACACCGATACACCGAGGTGAGATTCACCCGTTCTTTCTCTCCCCATGCGTCCTCCTCCGCTCGGCCCCGATTATGTCACATTACGGGTTCTGGTTGATCTTTGTTGGTTAAAGTATGTGTTGTTGTGACCTTGAGAATATTTTTTATTTTATCACTGTATAACTAAATATTTATTTATGAACCAGAGTCCTCATCTCGCTATCTATGTCCCTCAGTTTTCTATTGGCCAAAACAAAAGATGCAATCTATTGTTGAAAGACCAACTTGTCCGCAAAATACCTTGCAAACTGCGGCACGTTGAGGTACATCCTTGTATTTTCTTGTTGATTTTCTGATGCGAGAAGCGCAGGAGCCCTGTCAGTTGCTAACTGATGTATATAATAATCATCGGTTGTCGTTTTTATTCAGCTAGGAGGTCTGTGCGAGTTAGAGGTTATATGAGACAAGGGCTTGGTCCTATTGAAGTTACATTTGAGAATTTTCCCTACTACCTTAGGCGATGTTTTGACTTAATGTTCCATTGATTTGCTTGACGTCTTATGCTGTTTTTTAGCTTCTTCATATGCTTGACTTAATGTTCTGTCACGTATTTATACCTTTATATATTTATTGATGTCCATTTATGCAGCGAGAATACGAAGGATGTGCTCTTATCATGTTCATTCCTACATTTGGAAAAGAAGGGATTCATTGAGCAGTTCTCGGAAGTTTCTTCAATAAACCAGCGAATTTATCATCTCGTCCATCAAGTAAATTATTTTTTGTCATTGCATATTGTCTCCGTTGAATGAAATTGATGTCCTTGAGGCATGTCAGATTACATGCTTTTTGTGGACACCATTACTTATAACTATCCATCTCATTATGTATCAGGTTCTGAGATTTATTAGGAAACATTGATGAAGGCACCTGCCAAACATTTTGGTGCTATACTACGTGTTGTTGATTTGTTTCTATTGCCAGACATACTGAGAACTTCATGAATATCTTAAATAGTGATATTTCTGTGTTGATTTTGTTTGAAACAAAATTGTATGTGGCTGTCCATGCATACACAGTATTCAATTTTTTATATAGTGTAGAAGTGGTGTGGAAGTTAAAGCATCTGTGACTGCATGTGGATATATTTTGTCAACCCATGTAACATTGCCTTTAAACATGATTTAGGATTTTCATTATGTGCAACTCTTCCCAGATTGAGTACCAAGTTGTTTGTTTCATGCCTAGGTGAGGTCATTATGGCGGTACTTGATGCTCTAATGTTCATCTGTGTTATGGAGTTGGTTCTTTTGAAGTTAAAAGTAGTTGTATGTTCGTACGATGCTCTTCTTAGGTTTTAAGCCTAGGTGAAGGCATAACATGTGGTAATGTATGTTCTTTTCGATCTGCCTGCGGCTGATTTTTTTACCTCTTCTAGGTTGTTTTGCGTACTGTGGTTGCCCTTTATTCCACATGGTCTATGAGTTGCGAGGATTTAGGGTCTAGGAACTGACAGGCTCTTGTTTCTGTTGCTGATTAGAGCTTTGGTTAAGGTGCGTTCTTTTTTAGTGTAGTCGGCATTCTGTTGTTGCTCCTGTGATAAATTGTTAGTTAGACTTGTGCTTAACTAGCGATTCTTACAGAGATGTACTTTCAGTGAGAAGAAAAGGCCATATTTTTTGCTAGCAAGGATGACGATCTTGCAGCTTTCTGCGCATAGTTTCATTCTTATCTTATATACTTTATTTATAGCATATAAATACAGGAATATAGATGTCCTATGTTAGAGTATGAATTAGAATCCAAATCAGCAATTGTAAAAATGAACAATAACTTCTATTTCGTCATATATGCAATGTCCCCAATTTTATTGTTTTTCCTTTTTGGTTCTATAGGATTGCAACCGGAGGAGCCGGAGAACACGACCCCTGTCCTATGTGCGGCCATATCCCCCATGGCTTCTACAAGGACCATATCCCCCACGGTTTTTTAGGGAACTCTTTTGAAAGGCATGTGTGTACAGAACACATGTTTCATTGTCTTCTCTTTTTTTCATGAGTTGTTGAACAGATCTTATGAAGCTTGATTGATAGTGTTTCAACTCAGATGAAGTGTTCTGGATGATCACTTTTGCAGATCCTGGAGATCATTATACCTTCTGTACAATGCACTGTTCGGGAGTGTTGCATGCCTTTGTATTGTGTTCCTGAACCTTGCTAAGTTTGTCCATGTCCAAGTCTTCTATTCTAAGAACTCTTTTGTTGCATCCACATTAACCATACATATTTACATTTCCATTTTCGAATTGTTAATTGTAGCTGACTAAAACTTTAGTATAAAATAAAGCCCTTGTTGGTAAATGAGGCACGTTATTAGCAATGTTTGCCTGTTCAGGTCTTCCAACACCAAAATCATCAGAAATCCAGAACATACAACACTTTTTTTGAACATAGGTTACCCTGATACAAGTCTCCGTTCAATTTTCTTATACGGAGGGGTTGGAATAGTTACCATACATGCTTGCTCAAAACATATGTATCTTGATAAAGCGATCGATCAGGGCGCATTAGAGGCAGAAGAAGAGAAAAATGTTTGGGGCGTCTGTGCCGTTGAACATTCAGTGCTTATGTAAAAACTCTAGAAATGTGTTTGAATCGCAAAAAAAGAGTTCGTAGTGCTTATTCATACTTGAAACACATGAGGCTTTGCAAATTAAACCATGTTTTTTTCAAGGCGCATATGGATTTAGCAGACCACAACTAAACCGACTGTATATACATGGCCTATCCTTAGTAAATGAAACTATTTTCATCGCGAACATGGCTTTAGTTGAAGGCTCTTGCAGCATGAAACTATTTTCATCGACAACATGTCTTCAGCAGGTCTCTGCGCCATTTGGCGCAATGGGTCAACTAGTAATACAAAATCATCATCGAACGTTAAGCGTGCGGACCCTACGGGATCGAGAACTATGTAGACATGACCAAGACACCTCTCCGGTCAATAACCAATAGCGGAACCTGGATTCTCATGTTGGCTCCCACATATTCTACGAATATCTTTATCGGTCAAACCATTATGACAATATATGTTATTGCCTTTGTCATCGGTATGTTACTCGATCTCGGTATCTTCTTACCTAGTTCAATCTCGTTACCGGCAAGTCTCTTTACTCGTTTCGTAATGCATCATCCTGCAAGTAACTCATTAGTCACTTTGGAGATACCTGTGCATTACCGAGAGGGCCTAGAGGGCCTAGAGATACCTCTCCCATATTCGGAGTGACAAATCCTAATCTTGATCTATGCCAACCTAATAAACACCTTCGAAGATACCTGTAGAGCATCTTTATAATCATATAGTTATGTTGTGATGTTTGATAGCACAAAAGGCATTCCGCCAGTAGCCGGGAGTTGCATAATCTCATAGTCGAAGGAATATGTATTTGACATGAAGAAAGCAATAGCAATAAAACTTAATGATCATTATGCTAAGCTAACGAATGGGTCTTGTCCATCACATCATTCTCTTAATGATGTGATCCCATTCATCAAATGACAACACATGTCTATGGTTAGGAAACTTAACCATCTTTGATTAACGAGCTAGTCTAGTAGAGGCTTACTAGGGACACAATATTTTGTGTATGTATCTGCAGATGTATCAAGTTTCCGGTTAATACAATTCTAGCATGAATAATAATCATTTATCATGAAATAAGGAAATATAAAATAACAAATTTATTATTGCCTCTAGGGCATATTTCCTTCAGTCTCCCACTTGCACTAGAGTCAGTAAGCTAGTTCACATCGCCATGTGATTTAACATCAATAGTTCACATCGCCATGTGACCAACACCCAAAGGGTATACTAGAGTCAATAATCTAGTTCACATCGCTATGTGATTAACACCAAAAGAGTACTTAGGTGTGATCATGTTTTGCTTGTGAGAGAGGTTAAGTCAACGGGCCTGCCACATTCAGATCCGTATGTATTTTGTTAATTTCTATGTCTACGATGCTCTGCATGGAGCTACTCTAGCTAATTGCTCCCATTTTTAATATGTTTCCAGACTGAGACTCAGAGTCATCTGGATCGGTGTAAAAGCTTGCATCGACGTAACTCTTTACGACAAACTCTTTATCACCTCCATAACCCAGAAACATTTCCTTAGTTCTATAAGGATAATTTTGACCGATGTCCAGTGATCTACTCCTAGATTACTATTGTACCCCCTTGCCAAATTCATGGCAAGGCACACAACAGGTCTAGTACACAGCATGGCATACTTTACAGAACCTATGACTGAGGCATAGGGAATGATTTTCATTCTCTCTCTATCTTCTGTCGTGGTCGGGTTTTGAGTCTTACTCAACTTCACACCTTACAATACAGGCTAGAACTCCTTCTTTGACTGATCCATTTTGAAGTCATTCAAAATCTTATTAAGGTATGTACTCATTGAAAATCCTATTAAGCGTCTTGATCTATCTCTTATAGATCTTGATGCCCAATATATAAGTAGCTTCACCAAGGTCTTTCATTGAAAAACTCATATTCAAGTATCCTTTTATGCTATCCAGAAATTCTACATCATTTCCAATCAATAATATGTCATCCACATATAATATTAGAAATTCTATAGAGCTCCCACTCACTTTCTTGTAAATACAGGCTTCACCGTAAGTCTATATAAAACCATATGCTTTGATCACCTCATCAAAGCGTATATTCCAACTCCGAGATGCTTGCACCAGTCCATAGATGGATCGCTGGAGCTTGCACAACTTGTTAGCACCTTTAGGATTGATAAATCCTTTAGGATACATCATATACAACTCTTCTTAGAGATATCCATTTAAGGAATGCAGTTTTGACATCCATTTGCCAGATTTCACAAAATGTGGCAATTGCTAACATGATTCGGACGGACATAAGAATTGCTACGTTTGAGAAAGTCTCATTGTAGTCAACCCCTTGAACTTGTCGAAAACCTTTTGCGACAAGTCGAGCTTTGTAGACTGTAACATTACCATTAGTGTCAGTCTTCTTCTTGAAGATACATTTATTCTCCATGAATTGCCGATCATCGGGCAAGTCCACCAAAGTCCACACTTTGTTCTCATATATGGATCATATATCAGATTTCATGGCTTTAAGCCATCTGTCAGAATCTAGGCTCATCATTTCTTTGATGAGCTACTTTCCAAATTGAGAGAAGGTACAATTACCTCATCAAGTTCCACTTTCCTCCCACTCACTTCTTTTGAGAGAAACTCCTTCTCTAGAAAGGTCCTATTCTTGGCAACAAAGATCTTGCCTTCGGATCTGTGGTAGAAGGTGTACCCAATTGTTTCCTTAGGGTATCCTATGAAGACACACTTCTCCGATTTGGGTTCGAGCTTATCAGGCTGAAGCCTTTTAACATAAGCATCGCATCCCCAAACTTTAAGAAACGACAGTTTAGGTTTATTGCCAAACCACAGTTCATACGGTGTCGTCTCAACGGATTTTGACCGTGCCCTATTTAACATGAATGCAACAACCTCTAATGCATAACCCCAAAATGATAGTGGTAAATCGGTAAGAGACATCATAGATCGCACAATATCTAATAAAGTACGATTACGACATTCGGACACACCATTATGCTGTGGTGTTCCATGTGGCGTGAGCTGTGAAACTATTCCACATTGTTTGAAATGAAGGCCAAACTCGTAACTCAAATATTCGCCTCTGCAATTAGACTGTAGAAACTTTATTTTCTTGTTATGATGATTCTCCACTTCACTATGAAATTCTTTGAACTTTTCAAATGTTTCAGACTTGTGTTTCATTAAGTAGATATACCCATATCTGCTCAAATCATCTGTGAAGGTCAGAAAATAATGATACCTGCCACGTGCCTCAACACTCATCGGGCCGCATACATCAGTATGCATTATTTCCAATAAGTCATTGGCTTGCTCCATTGTTCCAAATAACGAAGTAATAGTCATCTTGTCCATGAGGCATGGTTCGCAAGCATCAAATGATTCATAATCAAGTGATTCCAAAAGCCCATCAGTATGGAGTTTCTTCATGTGCTTTACACCAATATGACCTAAGCGACAACGCCACAAGTATGTTGCGCTATCATTATCAACTTTGCATCTTTTGGCATCAATATAATGAATATATGTATCACTATGATCGAGATTCAATAAACCATTATCACTGGGTGTATGACCATAGAAGGTTTTATTCATGTAAACAGAATGAAAATTATTCTCTGTCTTAAATGAATAACCATATTGCAATAAGCACGATCCTATCTTGTTCATGCTCAACGCAAACACCAAATAACATTTATTTTGGTTAACACTAATCCCGAAAATATAGGGAGTGTGCGATGATGATCATATCAATCTTGGAACCACTTCCAACACTCATCGTCACTTCACCCTCAACTACTCTCCATTTATTATGCAACTCCTGTTTCGAGTTACTAATATTAGCAACCGAACAGGTATCAAATACCTAGGGGCTACTACGAGCACTAGTAAGGTACATATTAATAACATGTATATGAAATATACCTTTGTTTACTTTGCCATCCTTCTTATCCGCCAAATATTTGGGGTAGTTCTGCTTCCCGTGACCATTTCCTTTGCAGTAGAAGCACTTAGTTTCAGGCTTAGGTCCAGCTTTGGGCTTCTTCACGGGAGTGACAACTTGCTTGCCATTCTTCTTGAAGTTCCCTTTCTTTCCCTTTCCCTTTTCTTGAAACTAGTGGTCTTGTTAACCATCACCACTTGATTTTCTTTCTTGATTTCTACCTTCGTCAATTTCATCATCGTGAAAAACTCGGGAATCGTTTTAGTCATCCCTTGCATATTATAGTTCATCACAAAGTTCTAGTAGCTTGGTGATAGTGACTAGAGAACTCTGTCAATCACTATCTTATATGGAAGATTAACTCCCACTTGAGAAGCAATTGTAGTACTCAGACATTCTGCGCACATGC